GATTTTTTTTCTTAATATTTATTTTATTAAATTTAATAGATTTGATTTATATATTAAATTTAATAATTAAATTATCAAAATTTGATATCAAACATTTAATGAATAATTTTATTAAAACATACTTAAAAAGCAAATAGTTCCTTTTCCCCTCCCCTCTCTTTATATATATATATATATATTCAATCACTCTCTTTATCAAATAGATAAATATGTCAAATTATGTCCCTTTACATTTATCTTGTATATTACATAAACTAAAATATTAATTTTATACTCAATGATTAATTATGGAAAATAGTTATGTTCATTGAGAAACGTGATTATTGTATTCATTTCATTTAGTTGAACCAAGAAATAAAGAAGCATGAGATCTACATATTTATGTTTCTCTATTTATCTATTTATAGTTTATCAAAGTTCAAACATACTTTATTTCTACCTTTTGTTTTTATTCTTTTTTTTTTTTTTACCAAATGAAATGTAAATGAGTTGCAATTCACATGCAAGGGTTCTATTTTTAAGCAGTAAACGTCCATCTCTTGTCAGTTAGATCGGGTAAGAAGAAAATGAAAGATAAAAAAATAAAGAAAAATAATAATAAATGTAATAAGTAATCAGATTAAAAAAAATACAAAAATAAAAGAAAAATATAATTATACGAGTATTTAGTATTTAGAAGCGAAAAGCCATGATACCTTTATTTTGGCTTTTAGCAAAGGGGCACGTGATTTAGCGTTCTCAACGGAGATCTCATGAAAATTAATAGTGGTAACCTAACCATGTATTGTACGTACCACACTTGGATCAGGGGATCCCTCTCAAATTACTTTTTCACTTTTTATTGCTTAAATCATCTTTCTATCTCTATGTTGAATTTTAGTATTCAAATTAATTTTTTTTAAAGTTATTTAATTTGCTCCGTTAAGCTTTTAAAAAATTTTAATGTTATCCTCTTGTCTAAATTGATATTAACAATGTTAATGAAACTATAAGAAAATATAATATTGAATATATCTTTTTAAAATTAAATGATCGATTTGAAAATTTTAAAAATTGAGTAATTAAATTGAATAATAACAATTGTGCAATTTTGTGAATATAATATTTTTTAATATTTAATTTGATCCTTTAATTTTTAAAATAAAATTTAAATTTATTAATATAAAAGGTATTATTAGTTAAATTATTATTCAATTTGGTCTATATATTTTTTAATATTTAATTTGATTCTCTAATTTTTTAATCGTATAATTGTGTGATTTTAGTCTCTCGATATTTAATTGAATATTTTAGTCTCTCAAATATCATAATTATACGATTTTAGTCTTTCTCATTAAAAATTTAATAATTTTAAAATTCATATATATATATATATATAATGTTTTAAAATTATACAATTTTTTTCTTATTTAAATTAACGTATATTATAATTTTGTTAATGTATCAAATGATATATATTTATTATTACTAAATAAATAAAATATATATATTATTAATATTTTAATATTATTGATAAATTAATATCAATAATATTTTTAGTATATTTATAGATAAATTAATAATTTGATAAATATAGCTTAATATATATTAATATACTTTTACAAAATTACCCAATTAAAATTTTAGGGATCAAAATTGCACAATTACAATACAAAAATGCAATTAAGCCTTTTATTAATATCATTAGTGTCAATTTGGATGGAATAACAACATTAAATATTTTTAAAAAATTAGATGATTAAATTGAACCATTTAAAACTAGTGAAATCAAATTGAAGAGACAAAAATATAATTTAATCTTTTTAATTAATATGTCCTCTTTGACAGTTCAATGAGACGATAGAATTAAAATTTGAAGTCACAATTTTAATTTTAATTTCATCATAGTTAAAATAAATTAGAGGGCGCCAAATTTTATATTTAAATTAAAAAAAATAATGTATAGTATAATAATTTTAAATTAAATAAAAATATATAAAATACAACAATAATAATCCTCATCAAAAGATTTATTTATTTTAGTTACAAAATAGTTAGATTAAGATAAGATACCACACCACCCCATATAAAGCGAGAAATTCAACTATTAATCTTTTTAAGGATTTTCAATAGAATTACAGATCGTCTATCTTGTTTTTAAGGGTGGGTATATGGACTCAAGTCCGCAGATCGGTCTATTTAGTCCATAGCCCATGCAGATATGACCAATTTTTTTAAATTTGTATAAGTAGAATGAAGTTCTTAGTCTAGCTTGTAAAGCCTATAGACTTCGTGAACTTAGTTTGCAAACCTTGAAGGTAGGTCATTTTTTAATAAATTATTTTTATGTATTTTTTTCCTCGTGCATTTATATCAAATTTTATGTTACACACATATATATACATATCAAATTTTATGTATTTTTCTCATGTTTTCATATGTTAAAATGGAAAATAAATCCTATTTATTTTTTAGTATTTATAAAAAAATAGATATAATTGGACTTGCGAACTAACCTATTTATTTGCGAGCTTCATAGACCGTACACAAATTAAAAAAACTAGTCGATTTATTTCATGAAACAAGTTTACCCAATTCATTGAAAATTCATGAATGTGTGAGTTAGAGTTATTATAGACACAAACTCTAATAATGGATAAAAAAACATGATATATTCATGAATGTGTGAAATGGAATGCTTCTATAAAAATCACATTATGAGAGTTTATTAATCAATCACTCTTAGTTCATTTGCTCTCAAAATAGTAATATTATATATTATATATCTTTTATTTTAAAATAATTATCACAACCACTTTTTAGGTTTTATTTATTTTCTTCATGCTATTCATACATATTTTATTTATAAAATATTCTTTTATTATAAGAAAATATATATAAACTAAAGAGGAGGTGTAGTTGGCAATGAGGTATAGTTGGAGGGCGAGGAATAAGAAGAAGCAACATTGGTAATTGAAGATTCAAAGGACGATGTGGCTGATGTATTGATGGGTTGGGTCACCACTGGGCACTGGCAAGTGGTAATTACCTAATGGGCCAATCGAAACAATTAATACGAACTCTGATGGCCCAGGACAGGAATATTAACTAGAGTAACGACTAAAGTACAATCACAACTTCTGATTAATTTATTGTTTGTAGGGATTTTTTAATATTTGTTTTTTAATTTATATGCCCACTATCTATATATAAATGTTTTATGTCCGTGAAAAGACATTTTAATCTTTCTAAATTATTGATATATTTTGGTGCTATTCTAGTCTTTGCATTTAAAAATAAATAAATCTTTTGACCGAAAAGATATTTTTACGTTTTTATTCATAATTTTCTTTTATTTCTCTCACTTCATTTTTGAGTTTTTAAAATTTTAAAATTCAAAAACCATATAGTTGCATATTAAAATAGTATCAGATTCTGAAGTTTCTTTTTGTAAGCACAGGTAGATTTCTTTTGCCACTTTTATTTTGCTTTAGTTTTTTATATTTATTATTGCTTTTAACAAAGTTGACAATAATTTAATATTTTAATCATAGATATAATTACTTTTTAACATGAGATATCATTTAAGATTATATTGAATTTTATTTTAAAATTATGATTTGCGTTAATCACATGTTTAATTAACCGATTTAATAATTAGTACGTAACAATTTCTTTTATTACCGCAGGTAAGACAGAGTCACTTTATATTTAGAAATCCTTTGTTTTTGTTTTAGTTTGTCTTTTTCATTCCCTCATGTAGCAAAAAAGATTAAACATGGAATAATTCAAGTGTAATATGTTAATATTTTAATGTTTTAATTTAAATATTTCAACCTTTATTTATTAAGATCTTCATAATTTATTTTGATTTTATAATGATTGATAATGTATAGTTTTGTTATATTTTGTTAACATAAAAAGGAAAAAGAATATTTTTTAATCTCTTAAAGAATGATACTTCTACTTTATTAATAGCGAAAAAATAAATATAAGTTTAATCTCTTTTTTTTTTTAAGCAAATAAGTTTAATCTCTTAAAGAATGATACTTCTACTTTATTCAAAATCAATTTCTGTTATATTTCTTCTAATTTACCCTCATTTATACCCTTGCCCTTAGACGATTATAATTCACACACACATGATCTAGGTGAAAATAATTTTAAAATCATAATTTAACCCTAAATTATTGTCACCTAAATCACATGCATATAGACATTATTTTAACTAGTATTCTAACTTATGCATTACACATGTCAAATGTGTAATATATATAATTAAAATTATAATAAATAAATATTATATTTAAATATATAAACAATATTATATTTGAAATTTATATAAATAGATATTTTTAAATAAATAAAATATATTTTAGATTTATAATAAA